GTTCCTTGAACACTTGTACAATTCCAGCGATGAGGCATTCACAGCTTCTCTGGGCAACCTGTTCTGTGCCTCACCACCCTCACAGTGAAGAATTTCTTCCTAGTACCTAATTTAAATCTACCGTCTTTCAGTTTAAAGCCGTTACCTCCTGTCCTTTCCCTATCTGAAGGGGAAAAACATCTGCTAACATCAGAACGAGTGCCAGATCTTGATACTTGGTCCTCTAGTAGGGTCAGCTGTTGGAGGTGCCCTAAGAGACTCCTATGACTGGTGGAAGAGACTTAATGAGGAGAGACTGGCAGGAGAAGAAGAAAATATCTTGGAGTGCACTTATGCTGTCATGCACAAGACATGATTATCATAACCACAAGAGTGTTTCCAGTGTTTTACGTGGTTGTGCAATTGTTCTCTTGTTGGCATAACGTGTTTTATTATGAGAATATATGATTCCCTTCTCTGTACTCCTGTTACCTTTTCTCCTAGTGGTTCTATACAAACCCTTTCCCTATTTGTCCATGTTTAGATAGGTTCCGCCCCTTGTTACCATGATTGGCTGCCCTTTTGAGTACTCCTCCCAATCTCCTCCTTAAGTTCTAGAAAGATCCCTGTTCTCCCTTTATAAACCTGCATCCATGTTCAATAAAGGGCCATTTTGTGTCACATTGTGACTTGCGTGCAGAGTGGTCCTTCTGGGTCTTGCATATGGGGGGTTACAGCTCTCCCCCCATCAGTCAGCCTACTTCTTCTAAGCTGTGAGAATATCTTGCTGGATTTTCCACCATTGTCTGTAGACCGGAATATGGTCTGACTACATGGTCTGAATTGCTGCACATGGCTTAGGATACACCAATGCTGTGTGACTCTGCTTTTTCTCTCCTTTATTCCCAGGAGCTGCATTAGACCTTCCAGTACATGTTATTGAAGGAACTGTGTCAGGTATCAACAACAACAATCAAAGAAATAGCTAAGGAACATTAGCAGAAGGCTAGCAATACGGTTAAAATATTAGAGACAAAGATGTACATGAAATGAAGGGAAATTAATCTCCAGTAAATTGACTTAATTTTTCATAACAGTTCAACTTGGACTCTTCCCAGTACTTTGTCATAAGGAGGGTTCTCTCGCTTCAGGAATACACTTTGAAGCCTGCACTATCCTAGGTTAATGGCTGAATCTGTACTGTTATCATTACAGCCAAAAAACCCCGTAGCTGTATAAAAATACTCAAAACTACATTAAGACAATGGAACATTTTGTGGAGCTAAGTTGCAACTGGTTTTGTGAGATGCTATGTTTAGTCACATTAGAAGAGCAGGAACAGAATTACTGGTATAAAATGCAAGAAGAAATGTACTCATTACTGTGTAGCTGTGGGTGAAAACAGGACTTGTAGCACTGTCTACAGCTAAGGTTGCCTGAAGCTTCAAATCATAAGACACAGTTTCAGTACTTGTAATATTCCAAAGCTCTTCACTATTCTGGCTACAATATTCTGTACTGGCTACAATAGTCTATTTCTTGATTCCCACTGAATCTCAATTAGAAAGTTTCAGGTAAAAATATTTTCACTGTGGAGGAGAAGAGTTAAAGAGTATGTGTTTGTCCGTATAATATGAAACTTCTTACAGTGGGCGGGGGAGAACTCATTGCCTGAGATACTGTTTATGATGACAAGATGTGAATTTGTTTACTGGGATGCCTATGTTCATTTGTTAGTGTGGAGATAAAATCAAGCAAAAAACAACATTTGAGGGTGTAGTTAAAAACTGTGTTACAGACAAGAACTTTTCCATCTGAAACACAAGTCTGATGAAAAAAGGAAACACAAATCCATAATAATTCAGAGTGAAGAAATATAGAGAAAGAACAAGGCAAAATGATGTGAAAGTGGTGTTAAAAATGTGGTTCTAAACTAGAAGAACAAAATCATGCTAAGCTTTTGAGCCTAAGGCCATCTTCCAATACTGCCTTCAAAAATGTCTGGTATGTATTTCCATATTACCATTCTCGCTGTATTTTATATTCTGAATGATGGGAGAAGAGAGGGTGTTTCAAAAGGAGGCATTAGCTAAAAAATTAAGTGTCTTTTGAAATATAAATACCTAAATATCAGAAGCAACAAAGTAACTTTTTTTTTAAGAAATAAGCAAAACCAAACCAAAGATTTTTATTTTACCTAAATAACTAGAGAAATCTGGGGCTTTGGGTTAGAGTCTTAAAAAGCATTAGGAAATATTTAAAAAGAAAATGCATGGTGCTTAGTATTGAGTGGTACATTTGTTTTATCAGTTTAAATTAAACTAATTAGAGTAATGACATATATAGATAGATGAAGTACAGTTCTGACAAGACTGATAGCTGCCTTACCCAGAAAATGTTCTTCCATTTTGACACATATACTTTATATGTTGGAAATAAAAAACATATTCTTCTTGGTTTCCTAATTGAAATACCACATCATTCTTTTATGTTTGTTTGTTTGTTGTGTTTTGTTTTAGCTTACAAAACTTTGAAGCAATATGGTGTAAACAAGTATTTTCAGATAGCCTTCTTTTATTTCTAAGGCTAATAAAGGTTTATTTGTACGTTTAGAAGTATCATTTTCATAGGCACAGGTGTTAAACCCATGGTTTTGTTAAACATTGAGATTTCTATTTGAATGTTGTTTGAAGTCTTCCTGTGATCTTTCTGCCAGGTTCTGCTTCAACTTTAATAAACGAACATAGCTCAGAGAGAATTCAATGTGAAGAATGACTCATTTTGTTGTAAAACTGTTTATGGTGAACCGATTTGAATTAATTCTAGAATAATCTCACTCTGCCTGTTGCAGCACAGCCATATACTGCCTTCTCATCCCAGATGTACTTCATACCCAAGACAATGAGTATTTCTGCAACTAAACAGCCTAAGCTCCTTTGATCCTTTTATAAGCAAATCTACTTGCTGGTTGGATAAAAAGGAGGTGAATTAGACCAATTTAGAAATTACAGTGTAATGACAGAATTTTAATGCAAGGAAAGCTTATGCTGGTTTATGTGGAAGAAGAATCAGGACGTTTGCCAGCATGTTATTTGGGACCACTCAATGCAGGTCATAAAAACACAGTAGAAGGCATATTGAGGCTTGTGTACACCTCTCCCAGACAATGAGCATCCATGTACTGTTCTACTTGCGAGGTTACTTTCTTTAGGGATTATGTCTACACAATCAACAAATTTCTGGTCTTTTTTTTTCTTGAAAAGGAAAATGTGATCCCTTGTGAAAATAACTGTCATTTAAAGATATCAGAGTAGTTCAGTACTTTGACAAATAAAAATTTCTTTTGGACAGAATGTTGTAGTCCTCTATACCTATTGGCTTTGTGAAAAGAGTATTAATTTTAACAGAAAATGCTGTTTACCTGACAAGCTGCTTATTCTATGTTTTAATGGTAATGTGAAAATAAAAAGAGTGACACACAAGGCACATGTATATATCGAAATACTTCTGTAGTCTTTTTCACTCACTGGGGAAGAATTAAATTCATATTTTATTCTTTTGATTCCTGCTCATTGAGTAAACCCATTATTTACAAGAAAGCAGACCTTTTAAAGAGCTTCCATTTTAGCACATTTCTTCTTAAATTTAAAGATGTCATTTCAAAAATTCTGACACATAAGCTTCCTCGAGACCTTGATCCATTTGAGCTTTGCTACCTGATGGTTTTGCTTTTAGGTAGTAGAAGCTAATAATTTAGATTCACTTACAGGGATCAAAGTAGGCTGACCTATCTGTCATTTTCTATCTTCAATTTTTTTTTTCTATGACTATCTTTGTCTTTTTCTGGTCCTGAAATGTCATTTATCTGACAGGACTCATCAAAAACAACCTTCAGTGGTTCAGAGGTTATTTTGCCTATTTTCTCAAATACTGTAGATATAATTCCAAGCCCCCAATCATCTGAAAGCACCCATTTTATCTCAGTATTTTTAATTTGTATTCTTCCTGTTCTGTTCAGCAAAAGTTGTACTGTCAAATGCCTGGCTGCAAACTTTTTTGGGAAAGTTGAATACAGGTGGCCAAAACCTCAATGGTGTGAAGAAGTGTCTTGTGAAATGAAACCCAAAAGTACGCTACATAAAGGTAGCTACATAAAGGTATGGCTCACTATACACCAAAAGATTTCTTTTGCTTGTTTGTTTCATGGAACGTAAACTCTTGTTGTGAAATCATCCTGCTGGTATTATTTTAATTAACAAAAGACATTTTAGATAGCGTTAAGCATCCAAAAATGCAGTGACGGGGCTACTAATCCAGTATGCTGTGATGAGAAAACATTTTTTTTTTAAATTAAAAAATACGAGAGGGGCAAACGCCCATATCTGGCGGGTTCTGCCTTGCCGTGCTCTGCATTTTGCGCCCACCGCTGCCGAAGGGCAGAGCCAGTGACGAGGCCGGTTATTTTCTGCAGCGTTTACTGTACCTGCACGAGCAAATCCAACTGAACCTTCCCTCCGCAAGGTTGCCGCGGCTTGGGGACGATGTCTGCCCTGCCAGGGACCCACTTCACGTTCGCACCTTCACACAGGGGCCTGAGTGTACCCCGACCCCAAAGGAGACCGCAGATATCACAGCGCAGACACCCCCTACCCTCGCTCTCCGCGGCGACCTTCGGAGCCGTTTGCCCTCCAAGCTTCTCGTACGGTGCAACTGTCTCCAATGCAGAAAATAGATGGGGAGGTGGGCAGGATAAGCCCCCTCCTGCTATGTCCTCATGTGCATTGCCGCACGTATACATAGCCGATCCGCCGCTCCCCTTGCACCTCGTTTCGCGCTGCCCGCCGCCATCGAGGGTACAGCCAGGGTGGGGGGCCTAGGGAGGCAAACTTTCCGCCCGGCTGGGCCAAGGTGAGGGTTTCGTCCTTCTTTTAGCTTCAACGTCAGCGCTGCAGCTCCAGCCTCCCTCAGTCGCGCCACTCTGAGTGGAGGGCGGCGCGGCGGAACCCTGCGCTCGTTCCCGACGGCGGGCGCTCCGCTCCGGCCCGCCCAGCACCGGAGAGTAGGCGGCGGGCTCCGGCGTGCTCTGCTGCCGCCACCGCCTCCGTCGCAGAAGAAGAATGGAGCCAAGCAAGGAGCCCCGGGTGACCACCGGGGGAAAGCCCAGCGAATCTGAGTCGGCGGTATCCTTCCAGGCCCGGCTGTGGAAGAACCTGCAGCTGGGGGGTAAGGGCCGGAGCGGCGGCGGGCGGGCAGGAACCGAGCGCCGCACTGCGGAGCCCCCCGCACCGCCGCCGCCGACCAGCGGCAAGGGGGACCCGCCGCCCGGCGCAAAGTGGAGCGGCTTCAAGCGGCGGCGGCAAGTGCTGGACCGCGTCTTTTCGTCCTCCCAACCCAATCTCTGCTGCTCGGCCGCCGAGCCGCTAGAGCCGGACGGCGAGTCCGGCTCCGCCCTGCGCCGCCTGCGGGAGCACCTGCTTCCCCAGGGCAAGGGGCCACCACCCGGCTGCCGACTAGTGCCGGTCGCCGGCGATGAGGGGCAGGCGAGCGGGAAGGAGGGGCGCCGGCCTGGGGCGCACCTGTCCCACCAGAAGAGCTCTTCATTGCCCAGCACCGCTTGCCTGGAGCAGCTGCTGCAGGGCTCGCCCACCGCCGGCAGGAGACAGGAGCAGCGGACGGAGGACGGCGACGGTGGCGCGGTGAGTGTTGGGCCCCGTAGCCCTTCGTGGGGCTGCCCTGGTGGTTTTGTACGTACTGGGCCGGGGTGGAGAGGCCAGGCGGGAGGGAAGGTCCCGGAGAGGGCAGGCGAGACGAGGCGCTGGGGAAGGGAGCTGAGGAGAAAGAGGTGGGAGGACGGACAGCGTTTGGACTCAAACCCCCGCCCGCTCGCTCGCCAGTGGGGATATCCTTCGCCTGAGAGGGGGAACGGCCCGGGGTCCGCCCGTGTCGGAGCCCTGCACGCTGTGATAGGCCGTGTGGCTGAGCCATCCCGAGCTGTGGGCGCAGCGCTGCCAGGGGTGCTTGTGCACCGAAGCAGGAGCTACTTCCATAAGGCATTCCTTTTTATAAACCATGCAGAGGAAAGTTGTTTGGACGGGGAGTTGGGGTTCCCTCACTCTCACGCCTTTCCCCAGAGCCACATCTCACCTCTCTGAGGGCTCTCTCTGCTGGCGTCTGCTCTTGCTTGACACATGCATCACGGCTTTTCCTCAGACAGCCTCTGCTTTTTCCCTTGTCTGCTTATCCAAATTTGAATTATTATGTCTTTTAATTTCTGCAGGACACCCAAATGATGATCACTAGTACACATTTAACAGATGATAGATAATTAATTGGTACAACATACTGGGTGTTATCACATGCAGCTGGTTTCTTCAGTCTGATAAGATAGTCATTCTTCCCTGGTTGTTGAGGGAAGGCGGTGAACAAAGCTTCTCCGACTGTTAGTTTTGAAATAGGTGGTGAAGTTAATGTTCATAGGGGCTGCTGAATCTTGGCATAAATTTCCTGCGACAAAAGTGCAAAGCATATGAGTATTTCTGGAGTTTGTGTAATTCGAAGCAGTCATCCACTTTTCTTCAGGAAAAATTGACTAATACCTATTGTTATAAATTGTCTTCTGGCATAATTAGGGAGAAATGAGTAGCTGAAGTAAAAGGCACGCTCTGTGTGTTGTCAGAAATAAATGGTATGAATACATTTGGCTGCGTACCTGTGCTTGGGATCTAGAGTGGTAGTAGTTCTGTGATGATTTGCAAGTGTCCCTTGATGTCAGTGGGACTTTCATGTCTGGCTGCAGAGTTCAGAGGAGTTCATCTTTACAAACACGGGACCTAACTTTATGTCTGAATCTCACAGGGTTACTTTGGTGATAGTCATCATCCTGACTGGAAACCACAGTGGTTGTTCCTTATATATTGCTTGTAAATGTTTTACATCGTTGCTTATTGATGTGGGATTATCATGACAGGTGTCTGCTAAGTGGGAATTTCCCTGCAGTAGTTAGTCCCTTCCTCCCCACACCCCGGCTCACAAAATGTATTGCACATTTTAGTATTATTGTTTAAGACTACAAGCTATTATTCTGCTTTAAAGACTGCTACATCTAACAAATAAACAAATATGAAAATATGAGGTTTTCTTTACACGGAATATGCTGAGTTGGAAGGGACCCACAAGGATCATCAAGTCCAACCCTTAGCAGTGCACAGGACCATCCCCAAGATTCACATCATGTGCTTGAGAGTATCATCTAAATGCTTCTTGAACTCTGTCAGGCTTGGTGCTGTGACCACTGCCCTGGGGAGCCTGTTCCAGTGCCCAACCACCCTCAGGGTGAAGAACCTTTTTCTTATATCCAACCTAAACCTCCCCTGACACAACTTCAGGCCATTCCCTCAGGTCCTGTCACTGGTCACCACGGAGAAGAGATCAGTGCCTGCCCCTCCTCTTCCCCTCACAAGGAAGTTGTGGACTGCAATGAGGTCTCCCCTCAGTCTTCTCTTCCAGGCTGAACACACCAACTGACCTCAGCTGCTCCTCTATACGGCTTCCTCTCAAGGCCCTTCATCATCTTCATTGCCCTCCTTTGGACACTCTCTAACAGCTTAATATATTTCTTATACTGTGGTTCCCAAAACTACCACAATATTCAAGGTGAGGCCCCACCAGTGCAGAGCAGGGCGGAACAATCCCCTCCCTTGTTTGGCTGGCGATGCTTTGCCTGATGCCCCTCAGGACATGGTTGGTTCTCCTGGCTGCCAGGGCACTGCTGACTCATATTCAACTGGCCATCAACCAGGACCCCCAGGTCCCTTTCCACAGAGCTGCTTTCCAGCATCTCATTCCCCAGTCTGTATGTACATCCAGGGTTTCCCCAACCCAGGTGCAGAATCTGCCACTTTCCCTTGTTGAACTTCATGTGGTCAGTGACTGCCCAGTCCTCTAATTTCTGCTGTTGTGTTCAGCAAAGAAACGGCATGTTCATTTACAAAACCTGTCAATTGCTGTTTAGTTGTGAGGGCACTGCTCTTGTTTTGAACAAGATACAGTCAACATTTGGAAAGAATACTGCTAAATCAAATCAAAGTGGTACCCAGGTTTTCTAACACTTGTCTTTAATTAGCAGGATTATGGTCAATTCCTCCAAGCAGTTTCTAGTATTAATATGGGCTGTGCCTGCATACCAAACCTGCTGGTTTTGATATAAAATAAAGCTTGTTTGTGTGTTTGTGGAGTTTGCCAGAGCTGCTGATCATGTTTGTTTTGGAGGGATGATTGGAAATAGAATACCTGTTCTTATACTGCATAATGAGCACATCCACTGCTCTTCTCATCTCTAGAGGTGTAATCTCACTTGATTTAAGTCAGCGGCTTCACTGAGCCATGGGATAGTTGTGGAAATGAGACTGTGACTATAAAGCATTGTTGGACTGTGTTCAGGTATGCCTGGTACTCTTCAGTGATCTGTTAACAGAGCAAGTACCTTCCATTGTGAGCAGCTGGAGTTTCTGGTTCAGTGCACTTCAGGAGTCAAGTCTTGCATGCTTCCTTACAGTTCAGTATACTTCAGAAGTCAAGGCTGCACCTCAGGGCAGTAAGGTGCCTGTAGTGGTTTGAACCAGGTTTTTCCCCCTAGAGCTAAGAAAGTGGTAACCCCCAGGAGGTGGTGACACTTGAGATTTGAATCAATCAGCGCTCCTGCAAAATATAAACATATCACTGGACCGGAAAAGAAAGTAGTTGTAGTAGTTGGACAAGAAGTGGGCATGTTGTAAAGCCACGAGGAAGGGGCCCGGAGCCCCACTGGGGGCTAGGCCCCCCCAGCCCCCAGCTGGGGGCTGCAGGGACTTGGAACAGTGTTAAACTGGGCTAAGTACCTGTAGCTGGAAAGCTGAAGGAGTTTTCTCCACCGTGAGTGGGCAGACGGAGAAGCGGCAGAACATCACTGACCGGAGAAAAAGCGGCGGCACAGAGCCGAGAGATAAGAGAAGCACCAAAACAAAACATGCAGCAAAGCAGACAGGAAAACTTCTGCGAGCCGAGAGGGAGAGAAAGAAAGCAGCAGAGAGTACTAAGTTTTACGGAGAGAAAGTTGGGGTAAGAACTGCCAAACTCCCCCAAACTTTCTTTGAGATCCCTCCAAAAATGGAGGGGGTGGACTCCTATTAATTGGAAGTCCTAAATGCAGTGGTCCTGAGAGCTCAACCAGGACGAAATGTGTGAGAGGGGACCTTGGGCCCTCCCTTGCTGCAGCTTCAGAGAAGCTAGCAGCCATCTTGAGGCAGAGCACAGAAGCTCTGACAAGGGGCTTGAATCCCCTGAAGATACCAGACTGTCACGAAGGCTTCTGCACTTTGTCGACATGACCGTGGTGGAGCAACCTTTGTCTGGGGTAACGCAGCCCACGGAAAGACCCTTCGTTTGCGTCGGGGGGCCGAGAGAGGCTTGGAGGCCTCCCTGGTATGTATTGGCAAAGATCCAACAACTGCTGCTTCATGAAAGACACAGAGAGCCTGTTGCCCTAGTGGACTGCTGCTCAGAGACTGGAAGGGGTCTTTTTTTCTTCTTCCCTCCTGGACTTTTATTTGGAAGGGAGAAGAGATTTGGCCCATTGTAAATACAGTATGTCATGGCAGAGATAGAGTTAAGATTGTGTGTAATGTATTATACGATTTATTTGTACAGTATTGTAATATATCCCTTTCCCCCCATTTTGAGTCTCGTGTAGTGTCTGGAAAACCCATCTCACACTGGGTTGAGATGTGGGAGGGGGGCTAAGAATCAGGAATTGGATTTTGGGACTTCAAACCATGACAGTGCCTTATCTCAGTCATGGCATTTACACCTCTCTGAGGACCTGAGAGTGCACATCTGGTAACATGAGTTTGGAATAACTTGCGTTTTTAAATCCAAGTTTTACCTAGCACAGACTTTTCAGTGTTGTCTGGATTTTTATTGCCCAGCAACCTTACACGTCCAAAGATGAAAAAAATTCTATAAATTAACAGAATCACAAAAATGAGATTAAATTACCTAAACGTAAAACAACCTAAGATTTCAACTTCCTTTAAAATGTATTTAAAGTTTTATTGAACTACAGGGCAAGCAGATGCTACTGCTTCATTTGGATCTGTTGAATTTTTTAGCAAATCTGTAAACAAAAAGACCTGCTAGATATTTTAAGGGACATGGTGGGGAGAAATAAAATCCCACAATAAGTCAATTTTTTTGTGCTTTTAAGCTAAAATAATACAGTTGTCATAAGTGAAAAGGCACATAAATAGCGGATGGGAAGATTTACAATGTAAGTTGCCGTACTCTGTGGATTTTATCTTGAAATGTAATTTTGGCATAATCAAACCGGCATGGACAATCCAGTGAAGACCTAGTTTTCTTAGCATTGAATAAAGCTTCTGTTATAGTGAATAGGGTTAGTACCTGGGTTTGAGTAGAGGTGCACGCTTAAAAGTAGAGTCTTATACAAACAATACCTATTATATTTCCACACTGAATACTCATCTAGTTCTTTGCTGAAGACTGAATACTTTGTGGAGCTGTCTGTGAATATTTTTGGGTAGGTGATCATAGCTATTTATTGGCAGAAAACTGAGTTTCCTTTTAAAGGATAGCCAGAGTGTAAATGTGGGTTTTTAGGGCAAAGAAATGAACACATGCAATTAAACATTGTCTTCTTCCA